GCCTTAATTGGCCACAAAATAGGGGTCACTTTTCACTCTTTTTAAGGTACTAATTGGTTCCAAAAGGGCTGATTTGGCCATACCATTTTGACTCCTTTAAAAGCCAAAACTACCCATCGTTTTTCCAAAACTACCCCTCATTTTCCTAAGACAGCCCCGCTATGAAGTCGTTTCGGCTGTCCCATACAGGGCTATTTCTGCCCTTTTTGCTAAGGCCGAAACATTTCCAGAAGGGCCAAATGAGTCCCAAAAATTGGACTATTCACTTCCTGAAATGGCCCTATTTTAGGGGCTGAAACAGATCCTTTCGATTTACAGTCTAAAAGCAAGCAGAAAACAAAACCTGTATGAAAAAAAAAAAGGGAATAGTAAACCTCAAAACAATATACAGTAAACCTTGATAAGTGTAAGTGAATAAGTGTAAATATTGTAAACTTTGTATACTGTTGAATTTAATGTGTGCAGTTTGGTCACAGAGGAAAATGAAGGAATACACACAACTCGACAGTCGTTAAGCGTCGAAAAGGATGAAGTTTTTTACCAAAACCATGTATTTCGATTTTTAAACGCTAACAAAAATGTAGAAATGGTATGTCCACTCCGGAAAATAACACCGCAAACAACAGCAAGCCCTAACCGCGATGAGAACACTCATGGATCACATAGCGCAGCAGAACTCGTTTTGTTTTTTTGTTTTTTGTTTTTCCGATAATATTGGCTTGTAAAGAAATATATAAAGGAGGCAAATAGGACTGACTACCCAGGAGAGACAGAACCAGGTGAAAAGAAAGGAGAAGGTTTTGCCTTCAGATAACAACAGCCCAAATAGGACTGACTACCCAAGAGAGACAGAACCAGGTGAAAAAAAAAGGAAAGGTTCTGCCTTCAGATAACAACAGCCCAAATAGGATTGACTACCCAGACAGACAGAACTAGGTGAAAAAAAAGGAAAGGTTCTGCCTTCAGATAACAACAGCCCAAATAGAACTGACTACGCAAGAGAGACAGAACCAGGTGAAAAAAAAAATAAAGGTTCTGCCTTCAGGTAACAATAACCCACATACGACTGACTACCCAAGATAGACAGAACTAGGTAAACCAGGTGGCAAAACCGGGAAAAAAAATTAAAAAATGAAGGTTCTTTCCTCACGGAGATAAGTCAGGTAATTAAAGACTAATTACCCGAGAGAGAGGGTAAGGAATAACAAAAGAACGATAGCATCTTTAGGATCCTGATTTCGAAACTGCGAAATAGTACAATACGATTAGTTAGAAAACACATTAACCTGCCAAAAACGCGTCATCTTATAGAGAAGGAATGTTTGAGCTGTGATGTCAGGGTTCATTCCATAATAAGTTCATCTTGCTCATGTTAGGTTTCAACAATTGGATAATACACCATGTGATTTTAAGCATCTGTCACCTAACTATCACAGTAATAATTCTTTCTCTTGCTTCGAAAGCAACAAAGAAATAAAGGTAAACCTTGCTTTGCTGATTAAACGGTTTGGGCATCACCATTTTCCGCTTTAAGGTTATTGGGCAGCGAGATTTATCGCGCGTCATCATATAGCTCTAGATAGAAATTATCAGGCATACAACCTTACCTCAACGCCAAATTGGTCAGGTCAGCGAGTAGAATTTCTTTCTCGCGAAGTAATACACAGTTAAGACCTCACCTTAAAGAAAGAACGATGGCCCCTTTTCGCAGATACCGCCGAATACACTCGTACCTTCGCACAGAATTTTCGCGGGATAAGTTCCCGCGCCTACCTGATGTTTGAGACTTACCGAAATGATATTTTATACTGAAAGAGCTCCTTAGTATGGACGCCAGGAGTGTATTAATCAAAATATCTACCCAATGATTCAAGCGTTAAATGATACTCTTGTATCTCCAGAACATAACGCAGTCGAAATCTCTCTTGAAAACAAGGTCCTTAACGAGCGGCTCGCCGGCCTCCATGCTGACTTAGAGTCAAAGGTCTGATCAGAGTGAAATATAAGTTGGCTGACACAATTTAATTTTGGTATTGTCGTGACAGAACAGATAATCGCTCTTTGTGTCACAAACAAACTTGAAATCTGTAGATCACGGACAAAACATGCCGGGTACAACAACTGTTACTTGATAGTCATGTCACGCACTATAACCAGGCTATCCTCAAATGTCATGACACATTACGGCTTAGCTAAGCCGTTCTTGTTGCTGAATCATCCTGCAATTATGAAAATTGCCATTCATGCCGTAAATGCGTAGTTATTTCCAAAGAGAAAATTGGGCAAAAGAGTCCTAAATTTACGTTTCAGGCGACGAAGAGGTATGTTAAACAGTTGTGGTAAGATGTTTTTACACGATGTAGGACTTTTCGTAGTAAATTAAAATATTACCATTAGCGGTTCCCAATGCTTACTCTTAAACGTGTCTTAGAAAAACAGAAGCAACATTGTATTCGTAAGTCCGCACACTATTTCATTTGTTGGACTTTAGCCGATTCTGATTCACCGAGCTTATGAGCCTAAATTTCTCCAACAGGAGAAGTCAATCGAGATATATATTACTCACGATTACCAGGCGAGCGATGATCATTCGATGATCATTTGATGTTTCGACTTTTTGGTTCGCCATGATGTAGGAATCTTCCTCGATAAATTGAAATGTTATCCGAAGGGTTTCTTAAAGTTAACTCTTAAGCGGGTTAAAACTGAAACAAGACAGTATTCGTAGCATCAGGCTGATGCGATGGACTGTGGCTAGTTTTGATTCCGCTGAGCTGAGAGCCTAAATTTCTCCTTCACGAACAGTCAATTACTGAAAATCTTTCTCGTAATTACCATTCGCTTAGTTGGCCATGTATTAAACGAGCCAGATGGTGATAATTTATTTATTTGATAATTAACATCCTCAGAGTTACATGTGTGTCATGAGGAGCCTCATTATTGCTGAATTGTCTGTTTGTAAGTTCACTTCGAGTGGTCAGAATCCTAGAATTTTTACGCTGACGTTTTAACGTAAATTTACAACAATAATCAGGCAGGGAACATGAAATTGCTTTCTAATGATATCAAGAAAACGATACACATCATACCTAGTTGCTTTAAAAGGATGTGTTCATAATATGCGGTTGTGATATTAATTCTGAGCAGGATATTTCTTTATTCATAAACACGCATTTCCGCTTTGGTATAGTTTTGAGGAATATCTGTCACAAGAAAAGTACCAATTGTGCTTATATCGTTCCAAATTAGACAGAATGAGGAATGTGATGGTTTTTATGAAATGAAAGCTGTATGGTGGAGGAATTGGATGAGCACCAATCATGTATGTGAAGAGAATAAAAATACCGAGTTATTTAGTCACGGGGAGGAAAAATGGGTCTTGGCAGTGTTCAGGTTTTGTAATTAAATCACAGGCGAAAGAACAACTCAGTGATTCGGGGCATGTATCCCGTTTTTTCTTCCTTCGTCATACCTTCAGAGAGTTACAAAGTAGAGTAAATTTCATTTCGAACTGTTTTATTTGAGCGATATGTTCATGCATATCACATTTAGGGGTTTTTCCCGTGACCTTTCGCTTTTTATTGAATCGTTGCAGTTCTTAGAAATGCATTGATCCGGGTAAGAAGTTCTTTAAGAAATTCAGTTCTTTTCGTATGAAAGTTTCGTCTATCTTTTTCTTTTTCTTATTTAGGTTAATGATATTTTTTCTTCGAATCCTGTTATTCTCAGTGCTTAATGACCGCGACTGATCCTTGTTGTTACGTTGCATTACAAATGTAAGAATTTATAGTTTTACCTTGATGTAATTTACATCAACGGCAAATAGCAAAACACTTACGATTTCACTCACTTTTCAAAAAACCCTACAATAAACGTCTTCAGAAGAATAGCAGCAATGATCTTGCACACAATTAGAATAAAATTTAGTCATTTTAAATGATAAACGGCTGAAAGAAAAGGGCAAGAAATCTAACAGTGATTATTTTAGTTTGCCATATGGTCACACATAACTTCTCCAATAACCCAACCGTCGTCAAAATGTCAACATGATAAGGGCATCATGGATCTATTTTGTCGGTCTACACTCTTGAAGAACCAAGTGAGCTTTATTTCTCGATTGAAGGATGAACGCGTCAGTGACATCGCTGTGGGGAAAATTTAAATTTGATTTTATTTGAACTTGAACTGTGCATTTGACACGTGACATTCTATTGGCCTCACTTTTCTTTTTGCTTTAGAACTTGAATATCAAGAATTAGCAAGGTTAGTAGATAATCGTGTTACCTGTCATGTGATCGTATTATACACTGAATACATAGATAGACATATGATTGGGTTTGATTTAAAAGTCTGGTTGTATTTTCTGATTCTCGCCATTATCAAGTGGATAAGTACAAATTGAAATTTAGAACACATATTTAGGTAACAAAGCACAACATGACAATTCTAATGTCCTTGCAATTACAGTGCCATACACAACCAAAAAAAGTTAACAAATCAACTAAAATAATAGCATAAATCATCAGGCATTATGACAATATCTCAGCACCTGTTAACCTCGGAGAGCATACATTAAACGCATATTTTGTTTTGTTTTGTTTTTTTCAAAATCATCTCCTATACCTTGACCTTGATTATTCTGGATATCCAATAATTGTTCAGTATATGCCTGCTACTGGGGTATATTCTAAATAATTATAGACTGGCATGTTAGGGTTAACCATTCCAGGCTGAAATCTAGAAAAACAAACGAGCTTAAAATGAAACTGACACAGTATGGACAATAAAGACATATTGGCAGTTAAGACATTCGTACGGAAACTGGGATCTAGTTGGAAAAGTTTTACAGTTTTGTGAATTGAGGTAATCTGTTGATTTGAACAATGTGGTTGCCATAATTCGGTGCCATTTCATTCCATTTCTATTTGTAGCTAACAGAATAATAATGTTACCATTCAAATTTAGCCTGTTTTTGGGTTGAAATCTATAGCAGAGAGGAGATGGAGTCGAGCACGTCTGATGTTTCTGATGAAGGTGAGTAACACAGGTTTTCGAGCTAGTAACATCTTTTGGTCTTATTTCAACTACTAGTTCAGTAGTGTTTATAGCTGCGAGGATCTCCTACATTCATTTCTTCACCGCAGTGCACATATATGATTTTCATATATTTACAATCATTATTCATCACTTGGATGGTTTATTTGGACCCAACTTAATGACCAGCTCCCAGTTGGCTTGTTAGCTCAGTTGGTAGAGCGCTGCACCGGTATCGCAAAGGTCATGGGTTCTAATCCCGTTCGGGCCTGAATTGTTGGCAGGTCTTATTTCAATTACTAGTTCAGTAGTGTTAATAGCTGCGAGGATCTCTTACATTCGTTTCTTCAATGCAGTGCACATTTTGGATTTTCACGTAGTTACCGTTTTTTATAATTGTTAAAGTCTTTGCGCAAAGCTTTTAGCACGTAAGAAGAAGCAGGAAGGTAATTATCTGTGCTAATAAATTATAGAAATCTTCATTATCACACAGCCTTATAAGCTGTGCACTAATCTTCATTATCGGCACAAAGTCTTCCAAGTAGCAAACGGAAGTCGAGATTTTACACAGTCCATACGGATTATTTTTTCAGTTTTGTTTTATTTTCACTGATGGAGAAAGGTAACCATCCTGGCAATGGATCATAGAAATCTTCATAAGCACACAGTCTTACAAGCTGTGCACTAAACGAGAAACGAAAGTAGAGATGGATTTATCTTAGTTACCGTTTTTTCTAATTGTTAAAGTCTATATGCATAGCTCTATTATAACCTGACTCTTCTGACTGTGCTGATTATCAATTCCTTCTCTTTTAAACTTTTAAACATAGTCTACATACGTTCAATAAGCTTATATATGATAATTCAGCGCTCATGTGTCGTAGGGTTCTCGTAAAATCAGCGGCTGCTCGGATATATATTTATACCCAATCGTAATTCTTCATTTCTTTTTCTTTTCAGAGTGGGCTAGGGAGCGGGAAGGTAATTATCTGTGTTAATAACTTGTAGAAATCTTCATTACTGGCACAAAGTCTTCCAAGTAGCACACGGAAGCAGAGATTGTAAAAAGTCTGCATGGATTATTTTTTCAGTTTTGTTTTATTTTCACCGAGGGAGAAAAAGAGGGAAGTAAACCATCTGTGGCGATGGATTATAGAAATCTTCATAAGCACACAGCCTTACAAGCTGTGCACTAAATGAGAAACAAAAGTACGGATGGATTTATCCAGGAAGATAACGTAGTTACCGTTTTTTCTAATTGTTAAAGTCTTTGTGCATAGCTCTATTATGGTTTATGTACGCTGACCAAGTTTGATTAGATAACTTGAATCTGGTGTCTCTGCTAACTATTAGTTCCTTCCCTTTTAAACATGATGTAAATCCGTTTTCAATGCTTATTCGTGAAAATATCTACGTTTTATATGCTTATAAGCTTATCCGTCTCACAAAATCAGCGAGGGCTCGGATGTATTTTCATACCCGATGGTAACTCTTAACTTTTTTTTTTTTTTTTTCAGCCCGTAAGAAGAGGTATGAAGGTAATAATCTGTGTTAATAAATTATAGAAATCTTCATTATCGGCGCAAGCCGAATGCACTACGATAAAATATCTTTTCAGTTGAAATACCGTATATTATCAGCTTACGTAGGAGCTAAAGGTCTTTAACAGCAATTCGATTTGTAATATTGATACCCATCAAATAACATTTGATACCCCGTGCTAATCTTTAAGTAGGGGTTTTTCCCCTTCGTCGCCTGAATCAAATTAGCATTTTGTATATTATTGTGTTGAACAATGCTGTCGGATTGGCATGCAGAGGGGGCCAAAAAATTGATTGAATCGTAAGAATCATTTAGTGCGCAATTTCGTGACTTGGATGCAAGTTAGCCCACGTGAAGAGAACGGCTACACGTAGGCTAGATGCAACCGCTCTCTATTAAGCAGGAAATGAGCATCTGGATTTTTCTTGCGAAAATATTCTTTTACATACAGGTTGAATACCCTCTATGATTGACGATGATCGATTTCTTACACTAGCTGTGATTTTAGCTTGATTCCAGTAATCGAGGGAAATGTGTTGTAAAGACAGTGATTCGTAATCTTTGATTCCTTAAATCCACTTTTTGGGCAGTTGATTCACTGAGGTTCACTGCCTTAAGTTTTTTGCGTTGTCTCGCGTGATTTGGTCGGTTTTGGCACGGTCGACTCGCCCCTAATCATGAATGCACGACATATACAAACTCAAGGAGATTTGATTTTTACGTCACGCGGCCTCAAACCCATAAGGTTAACCTGTGTTTTACCCAATATTAAATTCGCCACATATTTTTCTCAATCAATAGCTAAACATCATGTTTTTCAGCATTTCGTTGAAATTACAAGATTATATGACAGGCTCCCAAATTATTAAGATTTGTTTTCCAAATTGTTCTTCTTAGAAGTAAGCTGCATGAATCTTAGCAGTATTATTATCACAACAGTCCCAGTCATCGCCAGTCACAATGGGGGATTTAACATATCGCCAGAGTAGCAGGAAATTGGTGTTACAATACAAAATACTCAACTCGTAATCTTTTCAAAAATCATTTCATCGGGACCACACTCGGCGAAACAATGTGTTACCATGGTAACAGCTCTGGTTTCTGTGCCTGAGTATAACAGCGGACCTACTGAACTACTTCTCATTGGGTTAGATATTTTAAAGATTGCCAAACCAAAGCCTGTGACAAAGTTTATGGGAATTACAAAGCCATTGCAACCAACTATGTTAACATTGGGCAAATTTTCATTTTGAATTTACAATGTAGTCTTTGAAGATTCCGCTTTTCGTACGCTGGAGCTAGTCCGTGGCTCTCAATATTTCTCTGCAACAACCCCAACAGTTTGGATACAAGGAGATAACTGGCCATCGTTTAGTGAAATTGTCACAAGATATCCTCTGTGTGGTGCTTCTAAACTGCACGTGTTTGTGGATTGTTTCGAAGGCAAATCATATTTGACCTATGGATTGATATCTCCGCAAAACAGGTATGAACTAAGCCCCAATCTGCACTGTTCTGGTAAATACATTGCATAAAAAAGTATTTAGGGACGGATCTAGGGCAGGGGCGCTCCCCCACCCCGTCTGTTACGTCATTCTTTTTTGGTGCACCCTGAAAAATGCAGGATCCGCTCTTGGCATTACCATTTTTCTGGGTTTGTTCAATGCATTGTCACAAAACGAAGCTTGGTTACTTGTGATGTTTGATGGCAATCCGTAGATTTGAAGAATTCCTTTTAAAGCTGCAGGTCAAGGGGTGTGGTGCGTGAGGCAATGCCGGCTTCAAACGATTTTTATTTTCCAAACCTTTGCGAACTGTTTTGTGTACTTGTTATGCCACGCAGAAAGAGCCGATTGTCTAATTTGCTTCACAACAAGCTTTTGATGTTCTTTTAAACATTTTGAAAGGCGCTTTGCTAACGTCTGAGTTTATATTTTGAATGCACTTTGCTGAAGTAGAATTTTCTTATAATTCTTTAGGAAACTTCAGGTGTTGGGTGTTCAGAATGGAGAACATCTTCGACTGACTGGAAAATTGTGGTAATTATCACGTCCACTTGTATTAGCTTAGGTTGCCCTGCACCCTTATCCGTCTCCTTGTAACAAAGCGAGCGAAGCTTGGACCGAGCGATGGAACCATGAAGGAGGCATGGGGCGAAAGTGAGTAATGAAGAGAGAGGCGTAGGCTTTGTGAGGAATTCAGACAATCTAACGATAGCCTCTCTCCAGCGAACGGGTGGTAGGTCCGTCAATAGAAGCCTTGATGGAAACAGATCGATTCGGTACCGCCCTAGAGATAAAATCAGACTAATTAATATGAGAGCGGAGGACCTTCAGTCAAAATAAAATTACAAATGTTAAAGTTTTTAGGCTTCATGGGAAGTCGGTTAAATTTGAACAATAACCTTCTCAAAGTCCGCCGACTCGGCTGTTGATTTGAAATATTAAAATTTCCTCTAACTTAATGTATGCGTGATCATGTCTATTCCATTAATCAAATAAGTTTTCTGGGATTGTCTGAAACCATTTTTTACAGTCAGATTCACAATCGATCGTTATTAGAGACCCTTTCAACAGGGCTTCTAAAGTTAGACTGGACTGGCGGCACGAGGACAAATAAATTTTGCTGACCTCTAGGCATAAAGTGATTTCCTTCCCTTGCTCGACAACATTTTCTACCAATTTTCTAACCTGTGCCTTTTTTGGAAATTTTTCCTCCAATGTTTTCATCTCTCACGGATGAATTTACGGAATCATCGAACGATCATATTGCGAATTCATCTGATGACCTTTCATTTTCTAACCTTCAGGGGATGGAGCAGCCAACGGAAAAAATTCTTTAAGAAAACATTCGACTCTAAGACAAGTTTTGCTGCTTCTTCGCAATTAACACATTTCTACAACAGAGACATCAGAAACGGAAGTGTCTTGAGTATTTACCGTGACTTAAAGAGCAACCGCATCCACTTTGATATCAATGGAGAGGAAGGATGGGTCAATTTTAGCCAAAATGAACCAGACTTCTGGTATGGTTACATTCGCTTGAGTTCCACCGGTAGCGGAAGTAAAATTCAACTCACACTGGTTCCGGAGAAAGATCAAGGTAAAGGCCACGTGATCATGCATTTATGAAACATCTCAGACTTCCTCTCTCTCCTTGTCAGTGTGTTAGTTTCAACATCAGTGTTTGAGCAGTTAACCCTTCAACTCCCAAGATCTCATTAGTAATTCTCCTTACTGTCTGCTATATAGTTCCTATGGTGTTAGATCGAAGAATTTGGTATTGGATCAACTAGTAGTTTCTTAATTGAAATTTTCTTCCATTACGTGTCCCCTTGATTTTGTGTTGCTATTGTAAGGAAGTAGTCGGTCTCAATCACTTATAGGAGTTAAAGGGCTTGTCAAAAAAAGTGGTTTATTTCAACCCATTAAATTCGCAACACAAACACTAATTATATGCTGACAACTAATACTCGGCAATATAGGATCAGTGTTAGAAAACTAAAGTCTCTTCACATGTTTGTTTTTGTTGCTTTTTTTCATCAGCGCTTTTTGGGGTTGTCCCGGACTCCCGCCAGGGATCAGGTAGGTCGACGAGAACAATGTTAATGCGTATATGCATATGCGTACGCACTGGAACACATCAGTATTACATGTGAATATGTATATTTCACCAGTATTTTTGAGAACCAGGCTAGCGATAATGGTCCCTAAAACAAAAAATCTTGCAGTGCCCTCTAATTTTTGTTAGCATCAGCCTTTGACAAGGACGGCCATCTTTAAGTGAAACAAAACAAAACAAAAAAACACACTTACAGACCCTAAGACCCGGTTATTTACTCGAGGTCTAACCCAAAGTGCGGTTTCACACAATCAGTGGGCCTCAGGGATTCCCTATAATTGGATAAATGTCCTTCTACTTTTGGCTTTCTTGACTTTCTTGACAAAAATAAAAGTTCAGATAAAAAATTCGGCTAAACTGAAGATGGCTTAGAACACGGTTTTGTTAAACAACGGCTAAAGTTTGTTTAAATAATCGGCCCTTATTAGAGTTACTCTCTAAAACACTCACCCCTCTATGCAACCTATTCCTCCAATGTGCCTTTCTTCCTTTCAGCGAATTCAAGGAGGAACCTTAGCAAAGTTAAAGCGATGACCCAGCGTTGGTTTTGCTTCGCACTGCCTGCTCTTACACTACAGTTTTCAGATCCACCCCACTCCCCTGTAAATGGAATGTTGATCCCCAGTCCATTAGCTAATAGTCCTGTCTCCATCAAACTATTGTTATGGTCAGCATTGCCATTAGATATTTTGCGCATGCCCGTAGAGAACACGAGGCGAATGTAGTTCAATCAGCAGGAATACAAGATATAAATATAACAATGCAGTTTTCAGACCTACTGCTTTCCAGGACCCCATGTCTCGGTTCAGTTCCTGATAGGCCCTTTGGTTTTTCTACTTGTCGATCGTCAGCATAATTACAAAAGCTCTGTTTTTACTGCAATGAGTAACTGTGGCCGGACAGGCAGGAATCAAGGTCATTTGTGATGGTAAAATCACTAATTTGTGTGATTTTGTTTACTCATATTTTTTAGCGGAAATATCTTGGCTGAGCCACCACTACGTGATGCACACATCTCATCCGCGTGGAATTTGCCTTCTGATAAACAACGTCCCAAAATTAGTGGTGGTAGAAGAGAAGCTCAAGAACCTGTTCAAGTTCCTTTCCTTTGACGTGGTAATTAAAAGACGTCTTCAAAGGGACGAGGTCTATAATTTAGCCAAGAAATTTGCAAAGAAAAATCATACTCACTTTGACACATTTGTTGTTATTTTCCTGTCTGTTTCTGACCAGTGCAATAAAATATCTTGTGCTGATGGTAGAAACGCGAGCCTTGAGGATTTTATGGAGGAGTTCACAGCATCAAGGTGTCCCTCCCTCCGGGGTAAACCCAAGTTATTTTTTGTTCAGCGTTTTAGAGGGACATCTTCTACGGTCAACGATGAGTGCTCAATCTTCGCAAGCGGAAGCTCTGCAGAAAAGGATGCCGTGTGGTTGCCTTACATTCCTACCGGTGAGGAAGACAGCTGCCCCGAAGAAGCCGACTTTCTGGTCGTGTCTGTGACTTCTACATATCCAGCTGATCAACCCAACAGACAACCAGAGTCTTTGTTTATCCAGGTGAAGGATAAGTCGTCATTTTTCACCCAGGGGGAGGGGAGGGGTGCCTAAGGATTTCGAGAGGTATCACACACTTTTCAGGGGGAAAAGATGGGGGTCAGTCTTCGCTAGCAGAGCATAATGAGGGACTATTGAAAATTTACTGCCAATGAGAGGGGGGGGGGGGGAAGGGGGAATCATTAGAATGCTACAGGGCCACAGGGGATCAGATACGTTTATTATGACACAGCCAAAACCCTCCTTTCCCCCCCCCTTCCCTCCGGGTGATGAATAATGACGGATTCCAAAGGATACGAACCAACGAAAGAAATGAGGCCTGAATTAATATTCACCAGACCCACTCGAGCAAAATTGAGATCTCTTGCAACTCAGATCAACGAAAACTTCAGGCATTGTGTAGCTCATTTATATCGATGAAAATGTAATATTTAAATGGAGGTTAATTTTCTTGCTTTGCGCATTCAACAGATCTTGGACCAGGTCATAAGATGTTCCTGTCAAATGTATCATCTGCTTGACATGTTGACGATGGTAAACAAACAGATGATGGATAAACGGAATGACCTACCAAACATTAGAATTCCATATCGGACCCACACAATGAGAGAAAGAGTGTGTTTAGGTAAGGAAAGTAATGCGCCGATCAATTTGATGTTTCAAGCCCCCAACCCGTCGTCCGTGCCCGGGGGGAGGAATGGGGAATTTGAACCTTGCCTGGCTCGTGTGGGAAATTTTGATCTGGAAGTATCGGTTCTTTTCAGGGGAATACATGAGTTGTTTTAATGTGGGGGTGTTAAAGGCAAATAGTTCACTTTACAAGCGATGTCTATAAGGTCTGGTTTTTAATCTTGGTCAATGTGTAGCAAGTTAAAGTCGCTGAGTTTGCCTTTTACGAAAAAATTGGGTGAGGTATTTGAACGCAATTTTTCCTAGGGAGGCTGGAATCTGAACAAACTGATCTTTATAAATTAGTAGATAATGTAGTCAGCTTTTCTTGGTGTGAGCAGTCCTGAAAAGGGCGGATCTTGGTGACAGTGACTGAGGTTTTGAAGAACTTGAAGGACTGACGTCATCATTAGAGTCTGTCAGTGGAGTTTCATAGGTCTCGATCCTGGAGAGTGATGGTCAGTTTTATCGTCGTGTTGAAAGCTGTAAAACTCCGATCCCAACTTAACCACCACCCATCCCCTCAGATAATATGCCTTGGATATTGATAAACTTATAAGGGGGCGTTCTTGTTCTTTCTAGAGTGAAATAAACGAAGCAGCTAAGGCAACAAACAATGACCGTGTAATTTCAATTTTCATCGTGGATAATTAAAACGAGTGGTCGCTAGTGGGAACAGGAAACATTTAGTAACTTGATCTGTGTTTTGCAGTTTTCGCCATGCATCAAAACTTTCCTTTTAAAATTGATTGGGATACTCAAATAATTTAAGTGGATATCCAAATCTTCCTAAAAATGAATGCTTTTCTTTGTCGTTAGGTTCAACACCGCCCTCAGCCCTCATCACTTCCGGTAAGACTGTCTAGACTCCGTCTCTTACCCCATTCACCAGCAAAGCATTTATAATTAGAGCGGGTTTAACTGAAGGAAAATCAGAAACAGGGAACTGAAAAACTAAATTTTCCTTGGGATTCAAGTAATCGCTAACTTGTATTTTCAATGTGCTGCATTTGAAGTCGACAGCTTCTATGAGGAAAAACAATTCAAATCGTGTCTAACAAAACAGCCTTAAAACATGTTTAAGCTTTGTTGTGAATGGTGTATATGTCATTATGTAACTGTCCACTGAATCACAAATATACATGTGATGGGCAATACACGTAACCGATGCGAAGATCATGTTAAATGCAGTGGGAAAATTTACATTGCAAATGAATTATTAATGCTTATAGAATTGAGTGGAGTGCAATTTAAGGAGTCCTAATCGGGCGAGTTGTTTCGCAATAGCTGAACTCGTAGCGCTAAGCTGATTTAAAATTACGAGTACAATTACCACTAAATGGTACGGCATGAAGTGCAATTACCAATTCATCGTACTAAGAGCTAACTGTACCAGTTCATTTCATTCATGTTCGTTTTCAAGGTGGAACTCTCAACCTGCTCACTTGAAAATTTTCTTCCTTTGAATTAGTTTGAGGTTTATTGGCCTAGCACACTATTACTACTTAATATAGTTATTGGATGCTTACATTTTGAGGTTTACCATTTGATCTTGTCTATTTGATGTCAGATTACAAGTGTTTGTAATCAGACAACTGAAATCGGTTGAATTGGACTCGAAACATCCAATTAATAATGGTAATAGGACCGAGTGGAGTCCAATTCGGTCTGTAACCGTACAAGTAATTTTCAAAATCGGACAAGCGCGAAGTGGGAGTCGAATTTGTTAATCACAAGTATGATTAAAGACAGAATTGGACGACACAAAGTCCTGTTACCCATTAATCATAACCGTTACAATTTCAGAAAACATCAAATACGTTTAGGACAAATACATCTAGTAGAGGCAATGTCTAAGTAAAAAATTCCTCAATTTTTGAAGTTTCGCTTTTTTTTTTCGTATAAGTGGTTATCGCAATGGTTATTGTGATCAATTCTGCGACTGATGGATTTAGCTGAAAGGACTAAGTATCATTGGCTGCTTTATGAGTCCGATTACAGGTGTCCGATTGTAATCAACTGTCCGATTACAATTGTATAGAATGATGAATGAAAAATAAAGCAGTTAATGCACCAATCACATTTGAGGAAATTGAAATGATTAAGATTAAACCACAAAAGGGGCCCTGACCCCTTATAGTGACTGGCTCCTAATTTGTCCTAACAGAATATCAATCATCCTTGAATCAAAAATTAAGATCACGAGAAAAAGGAAATGATCACCAATTTAGGAAGCTCCTGATTGTCAAACAGATTATTCTTGTCAGCACCAGAGGAAATGAGAAGAGAACAGTGTGGAGAAAATGAATACCAATGTGAGAGTGTAAAGGGATGAGAAACACTCATAACGAGCATTTTGTTATTTACACAATTGATTTATGAAATTTCTTTTACTGGCTTTTAAACTGGAACTTCGATTTTTTTAGCTGTGGCCCAGCAGGCTAGCTATGAAATGAACAAGAATCCTCGAGGATTGTGCGTCATCGTGAATAACGTCGACTTCCAGAACAAGGACCTGAATCGACCAGGAGCCGACAAAGACGAACGTAGCCTCCAACTTCTATTCAAGACGCTTCTCTTTGAAGTGATTATCCGGAGAGATTTGACGAAACACGAGTTGGAGAAAGTGGCACAGGATTTTGGAGAAGCAAATCACGAAGCGTATAACGCGTTTGTATTCATCGTCATGTCGCATGGAGGAGATCGCGATTGCATCTTGGGAGTCGACGGGAGGGAGACAACCGTGAAGAATTTGATGTCCGAGTTCCGTGAGAACAAGTGTCCGTCACTTAAGCATAAACCCAAAGTATTCATCATCCAAACTTGCAGAGGATATCAAAGAGACGCTGATAATTCAATGCCCTCATCTGCTAATGATATCAGTTTACAGGTGGTTACAACGTCGTCACGGGAACAGAAAAGCTCCCAGCCATGTGGTACTGCATTCTGTACTGACTCCACCCTCCCACGGAGCGTGTTTCCACCGGAAGCTGACTTTGTCTTGGCCTTCGCCACCGCGCCCGGTTACGTATCATATCGAGATCCGCTTCATGGCGCCCGGTTCATACGGGTAAGAAATTGCCAAAACTAAAGCAACATGTTATTTCGATTCAAATGCGAACAGCGTAAATTAGCCACTGTAAAGAGTTTCAAAGCTGACGTTTCGAACGTTAGCTATAGCCCTTAGTCAATCGCTCTGACGAAGGGCCAACGCTCAAAATGTCAGCCTTTAAACTCTTTAAGGCGGCCAATTTACGTTATCAACTTAGTTGATAATACTTGATTACCCTGTTATACTCTCCAACCGCAGCAACACCACAGTTTCTTCAGAAACTTACCTCCTTTATTCACTGATCTACCACTGTCGAGCACCAGCTCCACTTTGAATTTGGCGCTAGTTCATTGAGCTAAGAGTGTTTGAGGTAATCATAGTCTCCTAAGAGAGAAGGAGTAGGAGGAGTAGGAGACCTAGAAATGGGTAACTCGCTCCAACAAAGTAAGCGGTCAGACAACAAGCGATGCTCTGTGGATGTAAGGCGAGGTATTTTTTATTGAGAATTTTACTGTATTTTTACTTCATAAGAGCGGTCGCAAATATTCCCGTACAAACTCTTGTATTTTCGCCATAACGCTTATTATTCAAGATGATCATGTCACAGTTGGAGCCTGGGCTGCCTGTGGGCTGACTCTACCAAAGGTCATTTTAAAGGTCATTTCATTTTCCACACAAAATATCCTTTTGTCAACCTAGCTTGGCCTTCATTATAATTTTCGTCTCAAGTTTCTAAGATCTTTGGCTCATTTCGTCCGATAACGACTTCTTCTGCTAGAATGGCGATGTTCCTTATTTTGTTGTCCTTAATTATTGCAATAGGATTTAGTCGAAGTGATCAACAAACATCATCGTCGTCATCACTTCCTTGAGATCTTGACGGAAGTCACTAGACTGGTAGTGGAGCGTGTTAACTCTGTCCAGGTTCCCGCCCCTATGGATACCTTGACTAAATTTCTGTACTTGTGAGAGGGGACTGAGCCGAGTGATTTACTGTTAACTGCTCCTACGGATACCTTGACTAAATTTCTGTACTTGTAAGAGAGAGGATGGGGGCCGAGCGATTTATTTTTAACCATGGCTTCGTTTATACTGTTATTATGTTAGAGATTTAGAACGAAAGTTATCGAATAGTTCAATGCTTGTGGACACGATTGTTACCCAATAAGTGAAGATGCCTCATCCTTTCTTGAATCAAATCGGTTCAAATAAAAAAAAGTTAACAAAAAATAAAATAGAAATGAGATGACTGCAGGCTTTTTTCTTTTTGAATTACAAATCAAATGATTTTAATATGCTAGACGTCTTTTTCATCTGTTTACGATTTTATTTTCTTATTCAAGTATAGGAATTATTGTAGAGAGTTTGCTCTAAACGTTTTCATTTTTTTCCTAACTGCTTAAACTATGATCTTTGAGGTATTTCAACGTAAAGCACCATGGTACCGTTGAAAATTAGAAATTCTAATTTATCACCCCTAATTATCCATCTTGACGTTACCTTCTGGATGGGAGATTAGGATAATCTCAAAGAGTTGTAAAAAAATTTGTAAGAAATATTTCATTCTGCGACAGAACGTAGAAAATGATATGTTAAAAGTAAGAGAGTAGTTAATTCCACTCTAAAAGGAACAGAAGTTGATTAACACACTTGAAACATGTCTGTTAATATTTTGCTGTATGTCCAGGAGTATTTGCTTTTTAAAAAGTTTTTACTCAGTGACAGAGTTCTTTCTAGTTTGATAGCAAGCGAAAAACAAATCGTGTAAGAAAAAAGAAAATAGCAATAGTTAACCTCAAAACACTAAAAAGCAGACTTAAGAAGTGTAATTGAATAAGCGTAAATATTGTAAACTTTGTATACTGTTGAATTTAATGCGTATAGTTTGGTCACGAGGAAAATAAAGTGAAATTAAATTTTGTTGTGTGTCAAATATTTTCATCCTGAAACTTCCATTAAATAGCCGATTTTGCCCCAAGAGAGATTAGTAATATACTTTGGGAATCTTTAGAGGTCGTAAGCCGCTTTGAACGAGCTAGATAGCATGATGTAAATGACCCGAGGCATCTCATCATTTCAGATTTCAAATATTTATAGCAGAACGAGCGATTGTGCCGATTGATCTCTGGAATCCAGAATGAGCCCGTAAAGTGGCCAGCTTTAGCTTAGTGATCTTCCAGATGCAAATATAGAATACCTGTTGAAAGATATGCTAGAAGGATCGTGACATAACTTAGAACGCTTTTGAGAAAGGATATTTCTTCAAGTACAGGAACAGGCCATTTTAGCTCCGCTTTGGAACATCATTGTTTGAAAACATTAACCGTAATTAACTCTTTCCAGAAACCTTGAAAGGAAACACTTTGTGATCATGTCTGGATGTTTTCTCACAAATTGACAGGCAGTTTACATGTTAAAACTTTCACGCAATAAAAAAAAATACAAACAACAGTAAAAACAATAGCAGTTTATCGTTGTTAATGCTCTATTTCCGGCCCCATCGATCCCTTCCGTGAATCACACTTCCTGTGTGGAGTCTATTGTTTTCCTATCAATCAATCAAAAAAATTGAATTAATTTTTTTTTCAAGAGGTCATTATTTAGCGACCATACCGCTGTAGCCCAGTAAGAAACATTGAACAGGCGACAAAAAGGTATGTTCAAACAGTTGTGGTAAAATGTTTTTAAATGATGTAAGACTTTTAGTAGTAAATTAAAATATTACCATAAGCAGTTTCTAAATGATTGATGTAGGACTTTTTGCAGTAACTAAAATATTACCATAGGCGGTTTCTAATGTTTACTCTGAAACGTGTTTAGAAAAACAGAAGCAGCAGTCCGAAAACTAGAAGATTTGTTGGACTTTCGCCAATTCTGATTCACCGAGCTTATGGGCCTAAATTTTTCCAACTGGAGAAGTCAATTAATATAAATATTACTCATGATTACCTAGCGAGCAGTGAAAACGATCCGTGTGGCCGGGCGACATATTTATTTGATGTTTCGTCATGTTTCGACATTCAATGATCGTTGGATGTTTGGACTTGTCGGACCGTTCCTCGATTGATTGAAATGTTACCCGAAGCGTTTCTTGATTTTGACTCTAAAGCAGGTTAAAACTGAAACAAGACAGTATTCGTAACTTCAGACTGATTTGATGGATTGTGGCTAATTTTGATCCCGCCGAGCTGAGGGCCTAAATTTCTCCTTCAGGAACAATCAATAACTGAACGAAATCTTTCTCGCAATTGCTATTCGCTTTAGTTGGCAAGGTTTTAAAACGAGTCAGATGGCAACATTATATTTATTTGATAGCTAACATCCTCAGAATTAAATTTGTGTCACGAGGAGCCTCACTACTGCTGAATTATCTGTTTTCTAGTTCGCTTCAAGTGGTCAGAATCCTAGAATTTTTCCGCTGACGTTGTGACGTAAATTGAAAATTTAACAAGCAAGCAGGGAACATGAAATTGCTGTCTAGTCATATGTAGAAAACTTTGCACATCATATCTTTTGCTTTAAAAGGATGTGCTCTTAATATGGGATATTCTGAGCAGGATATTTCTTTATTCGTAGACACGCATTTCCGCTTTGGGATAGTTTTGAGGAATATCTGTCACAAGAAAAGTAACAATTGTGCTTATATTATAAATTAAAGTTTACACGGCAACCAGGTGGACAATCAGACATAGTTTGAAGCTACACTGGTTTGCAGATTTAATGAATGTAACCGAAGAAGTTACAATTCATAGACCCAACGTTTCGACACTCCTGTCTAGTGCCTTCATCAGGGGTGATCTAAACGCTGCAACAAGAGGTCCTTTTATATGATCACTAATTAGCGGCCTTTTTTCTGACGAGGTGTAAATAGGCGTCAGGAAGCAGACCGCCATCGTCACGATTTAAAGGAGCGTGGGCGGAGTTAATGTGCCAAGCCTCCAAACAAAGGCGCTGGTGGTAACGCCGATTAGTGGTGATAATTTTAGAATTATCGCACCCAATTGTATGGTTGGTTAGGCAAGTATGCTCCGATAAAGCTGAATTTTCCTTTTTGCAAAGAAAAACCGCTTTTTGGTGCTCTTTTAACCGTGTACACCAAACTGGCGTTTGGTCTGTCCGATGTATTCGTTATCACAGTCATTGCAAGGAATAGAATAAATGGCGTCGGTTCGTTGTTCTTTCGTGACAGGATCCTTAGGTTTGGCGAAAATATGCCCCAAAGTCTGAAAAGGTTTTTGAGCAACTTTAACGTTGTGGCTATTCAAAATTCTCTTGATGGGTTCAGTAACACCCTGTATGTAAGGAATAACAGCAAAACCAGTCGCTGGTTCCCTTTCATCAAGAGCGTTACTATTTGTAACTGGTTTTTGGCAGTTACGGAGAAAAGTTTTTGTATAGCCATTTGCCTTTAGGACATTGGAAACATATTTCCTCTCCTCAGCCTTCGAATCGAGTGATAATGGTAGACAATCAGCCCTCCTAAGTAAAGTTTTGGCTACAGACTTTTTATGGCAAATAGGGTGGTGAGAATCGAAAGCGAGGTATTTGTCGGTGTGGGTGGGTTTACGGTAGACACTTGTCTCTAAATTACCCTGAACCCCTCTAGACACATTTAAATCAAGAAAGGGCAAATGTCTATCCTTTTCACGTTCAAGGGTGAATTAGATCGACGGCTCTACTGAATTCAAATGCGACAAGAGGCGCTCCGCTTCATTTCCGGATACCGCAGAAATAACATCATCGACATATCGTTTCCAGAAAAAGGGTTTAACCGGTGAAGTGGCTAAGGCCCTTTGTTCCACGTCTTCCATTACCATGTTAGCAATGACAGCAGAAACAGGCGAACCCATAGCTGTACCAAAAACTTGTTGATAGTAAGTGCCGTTATATGTAAATTGCGTGGTTTTGAGGCAAAAAGACAGCAGATGAATAATATCCTCCACAGGCAAAGAAGTTCTTTGTCCTAGGGAAGCATCTTCTCTGAGTCTTTCCTCCGCAACCTTAACGGCAAGATCAACTGGGATTTTAGCGAAGAGCGAAACAACGTCGAAAGATACTAATTCTTCACAAGCGTCAAGAGTTTTATCTCTTATGCCTGTTGTTGGGAATACTGATTACACTGTCAAAAATTCCTGCGAATTTACGAATTTCATAAGAGATAAAACTCTTGACTCTTGAAATGATAAACGGCTGAAAGAAAACAGCAAGAAGTCAAACACTGATCATTTTAGTTTGCCATATGGTCATACATAACCTCTCCAATAACTCAACCGTCGTCAAAATGTCAACATGATAAGGGCATCATGGATTTGTTTTGTCGATCTACACTTTTGAAGCACCAAGTGAGCTTTATTTCTCGATTGAAGGATGAGCGCTTCAGTGACATCGCTGCAGGGAAATGTAAATTTGATTTTATTTGAACTTGAACTGTGCATTTGACACGTGACAGTCGATGGGCCCTGCTCTCCTTTTTCTTTAGAACTTGAATATCAAGAATTTGCAAGGTTAAAAGATAATCGTGTTCCCTATCATATGATTGTATTATACACTGAATGCATATATAAACATATGATTGGGTTTGATTTAAAAGTCTGGTTGTAATTTCTGATTCTCGCCATTATCAAGTGGATAAGTACAAATTGATATTTAGAACACATATTTAGGCAGCGAAGCACAACATGACAATTCCAATGTCCTTGCAATTACAGTGCCATACACAACCAAAAGAAGTTTACAAATCAGCTGAAATAATAGCATAAATCAGGCATTATGACAATATCTCGGCGCCTGTTAACCTCGGAGAGCATCGATTAAACGCATATTTTTTTGTTGTTGTTTTTTTCAAAATCATATCCTCTACCTTGATAATTCTGGATATCACAAAAACCTCATCCAGTAATTGTTTATTGTATGCCTGCTACAGAGGTATAGTCTAAATAATTATAGTTATCTAATATCTTGTACTTTTA